TGTTCCGATCACTCTATCACAGAAAAATAAGAGTTGTAGAACTTATTGAAAACTCAAGACAGCCATAACATTATGTTTCTTTACAAGTGTATGTAAACTTTTGACCACAACTGTATTTATTAACCCAACTTTGCATGAACCCACATTGACGATCTGTTTTTCTGTCTCCCCGGCAGTGCTGTGTGCTGACAGAGTGGGCCAGATGACGAAGACCTACAGTGACATTGACGCTGTCACTCGACTGCTGGAAGAGGTTAGAGTGCAGAAAGTAGATTTTGAATCAAACACAGAGGAATAAAAGCATTTAAGAAGAACTTTCAAATATCATGGTGGTGGTTTAAAATGGAGGGTTGCTCAGTTGACAGAACGGAAGTCTGGACATCATGAGACGAGAGCATCAGAAACAGAAACATTGTTAAATGAACCATAAAATCAGCCAGACAGACAGGAGTGAAGCTGTTGCCTAAACACAGCACTCTGACATTTCATATCTTCTGGGAAATATGGATAGGAAAAAAAAACATTGCTTACTTTATTAAGATTTTTTTCCCAAACACGAGGAAAAATGGGCTGTGGTCAGAAGAGACCAAACTTCAACTTACAAACGTTGAAGAACAACTCCACATCTGAGACAAATCTCCCACCTCATCATTCTGAGAGCAGCTCTCTACAGTGCAGCATGGTTGGTGGTGAGGGTGTTTTTCCATCAGCAGGGGGCTGGAAACCTGGTCAAACTTTAAGGAAAGTGTGAATATTCAATTCAATTCTGTTCATTTATGTAGCGCTAAGTCACAACATACGTTGTCTCAGGACACTGTGCATAAAAAGAACAATGTAAAGAAGAAAGCAGCAGACTGTGTTGAATCACTTCATCACAGTCTCCCATCCTAAGCAAACGGTGGAGAGGAAAAACTCCCTGCTAATCAGGAAGAAACCTCCAGCAGAAACAGGCTCAGGACAGGCGGCCATCTGCCTCAACCGGCTGGTTGGAGAGGACAGGAAAGAGACAAACACAGCAGGACTGGTCCAGGTTCACATTCCTCTGGAAGATAGACAAGGAAACACGTTATCAATAGAAATAATTACAATAAACATGTAGAGGAGAGTGACAAAAGACAACAGCAGAGTGAGGAAATGTGGTCAGTTTGTGCTCCAACAGTCTAAACCTATAGCAGCATAACTAATTAACTATTATAACTAAGGAATAACTCAGGAAACCTAAGTCCAACTATATGATTTATCTAAAAGGAAAGTCTTCAGTCTAATCTTAAAAGTAGACAGAGTGTCAGCCTCATGGACAGAAACTGGAAGTTGTTTCTACAAGAGAGGAGCTTGAAAACTTAAAGCTCTGCCTCCTGTTCTACTTTTAGAAACTCGAGGAACCACAAGTAAACCTGCAGTCTGAGAGCGAAGTGCTCTGTTAGGAAAGTATG